GAAGTGGAAACACCGCCCCCTGCTGGCTGCTTCTTCTTCTGCGCTCATTTACAAGAGAGACTTGTTTACAGACAAGGTACAGACAACAATAGACAACCATAAAAACATATACAATGAAAAAGTAAATAAAACAAATTATATAAAAACTAAAAAACAAACAGCTACATTATAAAGTAATATAAAATACTAAAAACAGGAACATGTCTGCGTTGGTTTTGCCATGAACTTAACAGATGTTTGAAGGCACTTAGAGAGGTCAAAGGTCGAGCGCTTCAGATCTTTTTACAAGATATTCCAGGAAACAGGAGCGGAGTAGGAGAAGGTCCTTTAGTCTAGTTCAGTCCTCACTGAGGGAACACTGCAGGTAATGATGTCCTGAGAGCGCACGCTGTAGCTGCACTCACGCAGAGACATGTAGGAGGAGATGTATGAAGGCAGCAGACCAGGAAGTGATTTAAAGATGAAAATGTACCAGTGAGAGAGTCTGGGTGAAGTTAATGATGATCAGTGAATACAGGGTGCAGTGGTGGTACAGTGCAGCCAGTATGTGTACCATGATAGACAGCATCCAACATCTGCAGCATCCAACATCTGCAGGGTTCTTGTAGGAGCATTCATGTAAATAATGTCACCATAATCAATGGAGGGAAGGAAAGTCACAGATACAAGGTGTTTCCTAGCATTCAGTGTTAGACAGGATCTGTTTCTGAAAAAGAAACCCAGTTTAACTTCCAGTTTCTTTACCAAGTTTTCGACATGGAGCTTAAACGAGAGATTTGAATTAACCAAAATACCCAAGTATTTATAAGAATCTACAAATTCAATAGGAACACCATTCGAAGATAAAATCTGGGGCCGACATCCCTTTGGTTTTATCAGCAAAGGGACGTTTTCAAACAGGAAGTCAGTGAATCCTCAAGGCTCAATGATACCAACCTGTATAAATGAAGGTTGAATGAATTTAGGCATCAAAACAGTAACTAAAAGCAGCAAGCTAGCTACAAGCAGCAAAATACGAGTTAAAAGTTGTTTAATGTCTAAAGGGACTACAGATGAAAATGAGCTCAAGGCTAAATCTCGTGCAACGCACTAAATGTTTATACATTTATGTTATAATTACACACTATCCTGATTAAATAAAGTAAAATAAAAAAAAGAAAATAAAGAAAAAGTTTTAAATAAAGAAACTGAAGTAGCCAAAGGCTAAGCAAAAGTTGGAAAAAGTCCAGCTGAAGCAAGAAAAAACCAAATCTGTAGTCAAGAGTAACAAAAGTAGCTGGAAGTAGCAGAAAAGGTAAGATAGCTAAAGGCTAAAGAAACAGTTAGTAATATCTTGAATCAAGAAGTAGCAAAAGCCTGGCTAGAAGCTAGCCGTACAATAGATTTAATAAAATTGAACATAGTTGTGGATTAATTAAAATGTATTTAATTTAATGTGAGAATGATTTGGTTAGGAAAGCAAAGTGTAGTAGACAAGTTTTATATAAATAGATGTTTTCCAAAATAATTCTGATTTTGTCCTCATTTCCTGTCAGTTCTTATCAAATAAACATCAGTTTTGTGTTTTTTTTTTTCTTTCTACAAAATAAAACACTCTCTGAAACCGAATATTCGTTTATGTTCATGAAAAATTATCGTTGTGAGATTTCTTAGCTGTCCTCGAACGCAACATCAGGTCATGAGACTGTCCGTTTTGGTGCATGCTGGGAAATGTATTTCTACGGTGCTCATGTCTCGGTCATTCCGAAGCGCGCTCAGCTGTAAAGAAAAACTCCATTTCCCAGACACCCCACGCTTTCGTCCTGCTGATTACTTCCACCCTGTCTGATCATAAAGATCATCAGCTGCTGTTGATCGAGGAGGTTCGGTGACAGTAATGAGAAAATGCACGAGCGTCTGTGATTTTACGGAGGTACTATTCGTGTTCGGAGGTTTTTAACGAGAGTTTAAAAAAAGAGTTTGGCAGTTGACGTGAGGAGGACATGAAGGAGCTAGCTTGTTGCTAACAGAAGATGGAAGCTAAAAGCTGTTAGCTCATGGTAATAAACCGCCGGAGAGTGTTGGGTCGGAACTTCAGCGATGGAAGAAGTTGATAAGATCCTGATTCACGCGCTCAGACATGTCGGCACGTGAGTGTTCATCACGAACTTTATTGCTGATGAAGGTTGTTGTCTTGGGGGTCAGAGGTCATCTTTGTGTCCACAGGGAGCTGGGGGTGGAGGTCGACAGCCTGAAGCAGTTCAGCAGCGACCTGATCGTGGAGGCGGTGGTCCGATGTGTCCGGGTCATCGAGCCGGGCCTGGGGGGCGCCCTGCCCGCCTCACTGCCCCCCGGCATGTCCGCCCGCTTCCGGGTGGGCATGAGCCTGGCTCAGGCCTGTCAGGTGAGCAGAGACTCTACCTCCCAGGGGGGGTCCAACCTGTCCCACTCAGCTGCACTCACATGCACATCGCTCCCTTCCCTCCCTTCTGAGGATGCAGGAGGACAGTGGTGTTCATGTTTCACCTCAGGGGTGTCAAACTCTAAACCCTTTTTCAAACCGGGGGCGGGAATCAGTCCATGTTGACTCAGTCCAACGGCGGCCATGTTTTCTTGGTGACAGGTTCCTCAGCTTCTTCTGTCTCCGACGTGTGTGTCGCTCCGTGTGTGTCGCTCCGTACGCACCAACATCAAAGATGGACGACAAGTTCAACCTCGTTTCAAATGTTCGTGGCTGTAAAAACTATCATCCATCCATCCATTCATTCATCCATCCGTTCATCCATTCATCCGTCCATCCATTCATCCGTCCATTCATTCATTCGTTCATCCATCCATTCGTTCATCCATTCATCCGTCCATCCATTCATTCATCCATCCGTCCATCCATTCATCCGTCCATCCATTCATCCGTCCATCCATTCATCCGTCCCTTCATCCGTCCATCCATTCATTCATTCATCCATCCATTCGTTCATCCATTCATCCGTCCATCCATTCGTCCATCCGTCCATCCATTCATCCATTCGTCCATCCGTCCATCCATTCATCTGTCCATCCATTCATCCGTCCATTCATTCATCCGTCCATCCATTCATCCATCCCTTCATCCGTCCATCCATTCATTCATTCATCCATCCATTCGTTCATCCATTCATCCGTCCATCCATCCGTTCATCCATTCATTCATCCATTCGTCCATCCGTCCATCCATTCATCCGTCCATCCATTCATCCGTCCATCCATTCATCCATCCCTTCATCCGTCCATCCATTCATCCGTCCCTTCATTCGTCCATCCATTCATTCATTCATCCATCCATTCATTCATCCATCCATCCATCCATTCATTCATCCATCCATCATCCATTCATCCATCCATCCATTCATTCATCCATTGAACCTTTAACGAGACTAGTCTCAGTGAGCCACGAGGACTCACAACAGAGACCTGTTGAGAGTTTGCACTAAATAAAGTTTTAAAGTCGCACGAGAAGCGATTAAAATCGTTTACCTTTAAAATAATCACGTTGGGGCCAGGTAAGGTGTTAACAAGGGCCCAGTTTGGCCCGAGGGCCTTGAGTTGGACACGAGTCTTAAATTCTCGTCAGTTTTTCTCCTGATAAATCTGAAAACCAGCAAAATGTCTTTAGCAGTTTATGGAAGAATATACAAATTTACGAAATAACTTTTGTATTTTAGGAGCTAAAATGGAAACTGGACGTATTTAGAACTTTTTAAAACCCCCAAATTAAAAACCGAACAAATAAAATGAGACTTTTTAAAAACCCAGATGTACTCCGTAAACGTTAACGCTTTTCTTCTAGAACATTTGTGCTAAAACGTTTAACTCTGTGTTCTAACAAACTGCTAAATTCCAGTTGACCTTTGACCTCATGGTGCTCTCCAACTTCCCAGCTTAACGTCTAATCTCTAAGAGTTTGGATTCTGCTCATGATGAGTAAAATAAAACGTAGACGATCCAGAGCGAGCTGCAGAGGCTGATCGTCGTCAGGCGAGGACTGAGAGGTTTCCACGACAACAAATAAACAAATAAGATAAAACGAGAGGATTTCAGATAAACTCGTTTGTTTCGTGCAGCAGCCATGCTCAGTCGGCTGCGAGCGCTCGGCCTTTCCTTTTACAGGCAACTAAGAATTAAAGGAAGAAAGAGCAGAATCAGGACAACTCTTCACACATTTATAGGTTCAGGACTATTCAACTGGTGGTCCAGGGGCCAAATCTGGCCCAGGGGTGGGCTCAGTTTGGCCCACCATTGGGTCCATTTTTAAAAGAAACTCCATTTTAAACCGTAAAACAAACTTAACGAGAATAACTGCTGATGTCCGGCCCCTGAGCTCTTGGCTTTCAGTAACTGGCCCCTGAGCAGTTTAGCTGAATATCCCTGGTTTAGATCTTCTTGAGACTTTGATCAAAATCAGCCAACAGACCTGAGGCGAGCAGAAACCTTCAGAGTTTCAGGTTCACTGAGCGAAGAAGCGACGTGGAAACGCCCTCCGCCCGTCCCTCCGTCTTGTGAGATGGACAACTTGAAATATAAATGAGGTGCTAACGTCCATGTTGGTGCGGCTGCATCCAGGAGTAAGACAGATTACTGTCAACAGGTTGCCAGGTCAAAATCCAAGATGGCCACCATCGTAAATGTACATGTATATCTGTAAACCGGCCACCTCCATCATCTGAGGAAACTCTGCTTCCTAGTTTTTATTTATTTTTAAAATATAGTTTCCTCAAATGATCGGGGTGGCCCAATTAATCTATAGCCACCATCGGCCACCCCCTGGCTCCACCACTGCACCTGGTGGTGGATAAAGTTGCTCCCTCTGTCACTCCGCGGTCTCAAAGAGGAAAAAAAAAGTCTGTTCTTCTCCACAGAGTAACTCCGTCTCTGACCCACTTCTTGCACCAAAAACATTTAGGTTTATTTCGTTCTCTGTTCAGTTCCAGTCCAGAAAAAGACTCATCTCAAAAACTGAAAAACGTTCATTACTCAATCCCTTCAGCGACAGGAGACATCGTCATCGAGATCTTTTGCTCCTAAACCTTCGTGGGGTTCCTTCAAACCCACGGATGATTTCATCGACTGGACAACGTGCTATTAACGTCAAAACAAACCGATCAGAGTCCCCGTCGACTTTAAATGTTGTCTGTGGCTAACGGGCGCTAACGAGAGCTAACTGGCGCTAACGAGCGCTAACGAGAGCTAACTGGCGCTAACGAGAGCTAACAGGCGCTAACGAGCAGGAGGTAACGTGCCGAGTGTTTGGGGTAAATGCCAACAAGCAGGTGGTGGAAAAAGCACGACTCAACTGTCAACTTTCATCACTTCAAGAACTCCTGGAGAATCTTTTTCCATCTGCTTGATTTGTGGCTGAAGATGGATTTTCACAATAAAGGCTCAGAAACTGGGTCTGGAAACTTGAGTGGATTTAATTGTGAAAGGTTCCGCTGGCACGATTTATTTATGAATAAAACCTGAAACGCAGCCGTATAAAACCTGTCGAGTATTCCACACTTTCAACAGCGCGAGGGAACTCTGAAGATGTTTTTGTTTGTTTGATGGGAAACGTTTGTTTACTAACGGTTTGTTTCCAGGACGTCGGCTACAAAGGAGAGATCGGCTACCAGACGTTCCTGTACAGCAACGAGCTGGAGATCCGCTCGCTGCTCATGTTCTTGGTGGAGAAGCTTCCCAGAGAGAGCGCCGAGGCTTCGGACCAGTCCACAGGTACCACCAGACTGCACCAAGTAGCTAAAACCAGCAGGGGAGTAGCTAAAACCAGCAGGGGAGTAGCTAAAACCAGCAGGGGAGTAGCTAAAGCTAAAATTAGCATAAAAAAATGTATTTTAATGTTTCTATGCTGAAAAAAGTAATGAAAGTTAAATATTTTCAAAACCAACATTACAAAACCAAAAGTCACGATGCTCATCTCCTGAACGAGCCGAACCTTTTAATAAACAATCAGCTAAAGTCACTCAAAGTGTGCAGAAGTGTTTATGCGTTGGCTCCTTTTAATAAAAGGCGACACAACCTGTTTTCTGAAGTTCTTTATTTGTCACGTTTGTTGTTTTTAACACTTTTTAAAAAGCGGATGAAACTTCTGTTGTTCAGGAAAATCAGCCGTCCTCCAGAGAGCCGTCGCCGCCGCCATCAGAGCCCAGCTGGCTGCTGCCTGGGTGCCTCCGAGCTGCAGGCTGCCCCTCCACTGTGAAACTCAGGTGGTCCAGGAAACCGTGTGGCAGCTTCAGATGATAACGATCCCGTGTGAACAGAAACTGTGTGTTTGTGTTTAGAGTCAGGGAGCGCTGCACAGCTTCCACGTCCAGCCGCTCACCTTCCCTCACTGCACCGAAGCTTCAGACCTGCAGCGCCTCAAAGGTACGACTCCGGCTGCAGGAACTTTAGCTGCTGCTGCTGCAGGAACTTTAGCTGCTGCAGGAACTTTAGCTGCTGCAGGAACTTTAGCTGCTGCTGAAGGAACTTTAGCTGCAAGAGGCTTTGATTTATTTACAGAAACATTTGGCTGTTAGAAACCAGTTGTGACTATTTTTAGAAAAAGTTTACAAGGTCCTCGAAGGCATCATGAGGCATTCAAGGCCTTGACTGTGAGGAAGTTGTTTTCAGAACGTTTTAATATTACCGTCGTCATTTTTTTAACGTCTTTGTAGAAGAATTAAGAATGAAGTCTTTGTGACGCTGACGTGTCTGAAAGAGCCGAGTCTGTTTTCAGACGTGAAGGACTACCACCGAGACGTCCTTCCTCCCGTCACCGCACAGACGTCCAGTCGAGCCTCCACGGCGGCGTCCATCTTGGAGCGACACACGGCGGAACTGAGCGGCGCTCAGGAGTGGGACAGCGAGTGGAAGAGTCAGGGACTTCTGTCCCGCCTCACACCGCAGGTAAACGCTCTCAGACCTGGACCAAAGTCCTGATCTGGTCATCGTCTGGAGTCGGCAGCAGCTCCACGGACTTGTTCTTTGGACTTTGGCTTCTTTTTCACTCCGCTTGAACATCCTCAGCTCCAAGATGTTGACGACCAAGTGTTAGCTACAAGCTACAAGCGTTAGCATGTCTGAAGTCTACTGCTCTCTACTGAGGCTCATCAGCTTATTGTTGCTAACGTCCGACGGTCGGGCTTTTTTGTTTTGTTGTGTTGTTTTCTCTGGGTTTTCATACGGTCCACGCCCAGTTGACACCCAGTTGACGCCCAGTTGACGCCCAGTTGACACTTCGACAACTTAAAGTGTGCGTCTGAATGACACGACGCGCTGCTGATGCTCGTGCTTCTGTCGTGTTGTTGAACAGGAGTACCGCTCCAGGAAGCTGACCCGACTGCGCAAACGCATCGAGGAGCAGCTACGTTCGGCTGCTGCTCCCTCTTCTGAACGCGCCTTCAGCTTTTCTCGCTCCACCCCTGAGCTGTCGGAGCTGCTTCAGACCTTCAGAGGCTCCGCCCCCTTCGACCGCGTCCTGACCAAGGGAACCCATTTCACCCACACTCGGAAGTTCACCTTCACGCAGGTGAGTGAGGCTGAGGGCTTAGAAACAGACGCCTCTGCCCCGTGAGCTAAACGTTAACTATGTGTGTTGTCCAGGAGGAGGCGGCGGTAACCAGCCCCGTCCTTACCGGGCGCCAGTCTGAGGGCGACATTCAGCTCCGTCAGCAGGAGGAGCTCGCCTCCCTCCAGGAGCAGTTCCAGCAGCTCTGCAGTGACGTCGACCAGCTGGCAGCAGACATGAAACATGTGAACGTCACAAACGCTCAGGTACACGTGTCACGTTTAATCAGGAGGGATCGGTTAACGGTTTGTCTTCACGAGAACGCTGAGAGAGACTGCTGACATTAGCTCAAGAAGCTAAAACTGTGATGTTGGAACTGAAACGAGCTAAACAAGCTAGATGCTTGAAAGAAAAAAATGGCTAAATATAGCAACTCTCTGGCTAGATGCTAAAGAGAACAACATGTTAGCTGAATGCTAAATGTAGCAAACGACTAACAAAAAAATAAATGTGGCAAAACATTAGCTAATAAGCATTTTCTCTTTGTCGAAGACGGACGCTCTCCTTCCCTCTCCTGCTTTTACTCTTGTCCGGTGAATCTCAGAGTCTCTTTACACATCGTCCAAATCAAATTATTATGGATCTGGTCAGCTGATCAACGCAATTGATAAACTTTTCTCGACAAGGAGACGGGGTGCAGGAGAACCCTCATGTCCTGAAGGGACACACACAGCTGGATATGTCATGGAGTCCTGGAAGAGAGCGTGCGTGTCTGAGGACGTAGAAGATGAATAATAATTAGATTCATGATCACAGGGTCTCTGGAATCGATGGACACCTGAGATATCGACTCGTTAGGAGGACGTCGGCAGCAGTTTGAGCCTTGGTAAAGTTGCCCACCTTATGTGAAGGATTACTCCGTGCTTCGAGCGCCCAGACTAATATGCTTTGTGAGCTGGACGTGACTTCTGAGCGGAGTGTCCACAGACCTGGCTGTTTGGATTTGCCACTGAGTGAACCAACAGAACTGACATAACATCAGCAGAGTGCTCTGCCCAAAACGATCGTTGTTTATCTGAATTAAAGTAAATATCTAAAGGTCTAAAACGACGTCGCTAACTGGTCAACGTTTGTTGGGCTCTTAAACCTCCAGCTCCGTGAGTCATTTGTTGATCTTCCTTCCCATCTTGCTACTTCCTGTCTGGTTGGACTCCTTCAAGCTGCAGGTCTCGGGTGAAAGTGACCGACGTTTCTCCTGCAGGTGTTGGACGAGCTGAAGCAGAGGCAGCTGGGAAACGCCGAGGAGGAGGAGAAGTTGCAGGTGAAGAAGAAAACCGTAGACCTGCTGCCCGACGCGGAGAACAACCTGCTGAAGCTTCAGGTAGGACGGATATCAAACGGAGCTCCGCCCTCCTCGGAGGTTCTCTCCTGAAACCTTCGGTCCCTTCCCTCAGGCTCTGGTGGAGGGCGGAGCCAAGCGGGTGGTGAACCTGGCGTCCCAGTGGGAGAAACGCCGAGCGCCGCTCATCGACGAGTATCGCAGGCTTAAAGAGATCTGCAGCAACAAAGACGTAAGCTGTGTGAGGAAGGTCACGTGTCCTCCGAGTGCTCCGATTGTTCACGCACCTCGTCTTCTCACAGCTGGAGTCGAACAGGAAGCTCTCCGAGATCAAGTCTCTGCACGAAAAAATCTGCGTTTCCACAGAGGAGGCGAAGAAGAAGGAGGAAATGTACAAACAGCTGGTAATATCTGGATTAATCAGATTAATTCATTAATGGTTAACCAAGAATAACATTAATGACAGAAATAAATGTTATTTATGCAGTTAAATACATCAGACACAACCTTTCTGTTAACTTGTCTCTGCACCTGCACAGAATTGTGGGTAATGAACGTTTCTTTTCCCTCGCAGGTGACAGAGTTGGAAAGTCTTCCGAAAGATGTGTCTCGGTCGGCGTACACTCAGAGGATCCTGGAGATCGTCGGCAACATCAAGAAACAGAAAGAGGAGATCACAAAAGTACGTTCTTCTATTTTTTATTCTTTAACACTCAGAAGGTGTTTTTTTTTTTTTTTTTTGCTGTCAATAAAGACGACTGTTTCCGTTAAAGCCTAAATATCCTTTAAATTTTTTCTTATTTAGTCAGTTTGGACCTCTCAGTAACTTTACTGCCCTCTGGTGGTCGTTTTGGGAGAAATCAACCACATTCAAATCCCTTTATAAATTAATTTCATGATCCCAAATTTATCAGATCATTAAATAATGCACTCCTTTCAGTAAGGCTTTATTTTACAACACAACATAATAACACAACAACATAATAACACAACAACAACGTAACACAACAACATAATAACACAACAACATAATAACACAACAACATAA